GGAAGGATAGCCCTTGGGGGGATCAGTGCTCCTCAGTCAGAATTTCTGTGAGATCATGACTAGTCTTAGTCCCTGGAATTGTAGTCCAAGTCTTAATGAGGTCTTAGGCTAGAAACTTAAAAGATTGGCACTGTGCGAACCTTTGCAGGAAGGAAGCATTTGTAATAAGTGAAGCTGAAATTGCTTAGTCTCGAAATCAGTTAGCTTTGGGAATACGTTTAAATGAAACAATCATCATGAACTTTCTAATTATTTTTTCCTAATTTGTGCTAAAATCCAAAAGGAATAATATTGGATTATCTGCTGTTTTGAATTAAATATCCCTGTGTGCCCCTTCATTTGCAAACATAAGTAAAATTTTACCATGATATATAGAACATGGGAAAATTTTTTTTCTTCCAAAACTTGTTAACTCTATAGCCCCAAGGAATAAGCTGTATTTTGGACTGTGAACTTGAGTTTGTTTACTGATCAGCTAATCAGAAATTATTCAGGCAAGAATCCTCAAGAAATTTCTTTATTGGCCCATTTTCCATTTTCTAAAGATGAGCAGGCAGCAAGGAAGAGTACATTTAAAGTCTGCAGCAGGACTTTAGAACTATTTAATGTTTTGCTTGTATATTCATCTGGCAGTTTTTTAGAATTGTTCAGTTCTATAAATTCTTTATTACATTTGATGATATTAAGAAAAACAGGTGTATTTGTTAATGTTCTAAATTGTATCTGGAAAGTTACTATAACATATAACTTTAGGTACCTGGATTTAAGATTAATTTGAGGGGGTATATACCATCAATCCAGAATAATCCTCCAGCTACTTGATTCATTATAAGTTCTGGCAAAAGAGTTAGCATCTCTCCCATAGGATTCAAATGTGAGTAGAATAGCATCATTAGTACTGTACTTCCTTTCTTTGGTGCTGTTAACTATTCCCAAGAGAGGGAAGGGAAACACATAATGCCCATTGCTTATCAGAGTTATAAGTTCAGTAAATAATTATACCTTCTTGCTTTTGAGTGCAGTCAAATGAGGAAGTATAATACAGCTGCTAATAAACCACATTCAAATTACAGTCTCTAAAGCAACAAAACAGTAATCCACATTTTGAAAAGAATAGCAACTCAGTTTTTTAAAAGACATGTTTCTAATTGCAGTTGCCAAAATCAGTTATTTTCTGATGTGATATTTTATTTTCCAAGAATTATTACCTTTGTAGAATTATGATGTTTTAAATTAAAAGTTGAGACACATGTATTAAATAATACTCCGGTGTAAAATGGAAGAACTGAAGATTGAAGGAAACAGAAATAAATGAAATTAGGATGATACCAAAGTTTGAAGTTCTACTCCAGGATTCTTTGAACCAAACACTTGGCAGCCCTTCACATCATGTTAATTGCCTTTCTGTGTATGTATTTCCATATGCTGAGTCATCATTTTGGCTTAATAGGCAGTCACTATAACAAGATTGGCAGTATTTAAATATTCTTTCCTTTCATGCTTGCCTTATGGAATTTATAGTTTCTGAGCACAAACTTATTTTATATTTAAAGCACTTTTCTAAAATATTAGTGCTTGTAAAATTAAAAAAAGAACATCATTTCCTTTAAAATACTGTGACAACAGAACTAAAGTTAAAGATATTTAAAATCCCTTACTCTCTCAAGTGAAATTCATTTTGACCTTATTTAATATCAAGATGTAATGATGCCTTACCTGATTTCTTGAAACCCTTTCAGGACTTATATTTAAGAGCCAGTGTAACCATTGATCTTATAATTTTACTGAAATATATTAATTTTGTAGGTTGAAAGACTGGCAACCAAAACTATACTTTCTTATAAGCATAATACATGCATTTGAAGCCCAGCTTCCTTTCTGTTCATATGACATATCCTTTGCTAGTGCTTTTAATGTTTTGCTTCCTATATAATTAATGATACAGTGCTGTTTTCATTCTGATACGAATGAGTACAAAGAGAAAGAGAAAACATATACATACATATTTGTGTGTGTGTGTGTGTGTGTGTGTATAACCTTTTAAAAATCTTTATTTTTTAACATATTGAAAATTTTTCAGTGTCTCTGATATTCTCTTGATTAACCACATTAATAGCAGAGAGCAAATACCTGCATACAAAAGTAATATGAATTTTATTTAGTACCTGTACTGCTTGTTTTGCATCTGAGTGCCCTCCCACACCCTCTGACACCCTGAATTTGAATCAGTCCCTGAAGATCTGGAAATGCGCCATCCTCTTCCTTCTCTAGCATGAAGTCGTTGTTCCTCTTGCTTGGTTTTGTGGCTTTGTTTTTTATAGATTCTCTGGAACATGGAAATTTGTAGTTTTGCTGAATAGGCTTATTGACTTTGGTCAGTGATGGAACGGTTAGAATAAAAACATAATATGTCACGACAGCAAATTAATGACCAATTACTGTATGCATTTGCCATATGTTAATAAAATTTGAAAGTAGCCGTTCATCCTATTTGGATGATTGGCTGTTCCTTTTACCTAAGCCAACCATGAAAATAAAAACTGACTCTCAGTCCCAGAAGTTAGTAAATGTAAAGCATTTTCTAAAATAAATATTTTCAGATCTCTGTCTTTTATTTCTGTTTATTACATTTACTATAAATTTGTGTTTTGGAAACAAAACCTAGATTTTTCTAAAAAGAAACAGGGAATAAGAGGAAGGCATGCCATGTCAGATACCAGTTTGTCATCATTATTTTCCTTTTCCTGAGTGTCCTTAGAAGCCCTGCGGCAGAAGCAGTGACAGAACAGAAGGGTTTACCCAGGGTTGTGAATACCTAAGATGAAAAACAAAGCAGGTGGGAAACCTAGGGTACACCAAGAGCAGTATGTCAGTGGAGCTAACTTAGAAAGAGAGGAAAGTGAGAAATCCACAAGCGTCCAGGTGTTGTTTTTGACCAGTTGCTAAGTTGTGTCCGACTCTTTGTGACCCTGTAGACTGCAGCATGCCAGGCTTCCCTGTCCTTCACTATCTCCTAGAGTTTGCTCAAAGTCATGTCCATTGAGTCAGTGATGCCATCCAACCATCTCATCCTCTGTCACCCCCTTCTCCTCCTGCCCTCAATCTTTCCCAACATCAGGGTTTTTTCCAGTGAGTCTGTTCTTTGTATCAGGTGGCCAAAGTATTGGAGCTTCAGCTTCAGTATCAGTCCTTCCAACGAGTATTCAGGGTTGATTTCCTTTAGGATTGACTGGTTTGATCTCCTTGCAGTCCAAGAGACTCTCAAGAGTCTTCTCCAGCACCACAATTTGAAAGCCTCAATTCTTCAGTACCCAGCCTTCTTTATGGTCCAGCTTTTACATTCATATATGATTACTGGAATAACCACAGCTTTGACTAGATGGACCTTTGTCAGGAAAGGGATGTCTTTGCTTTTTAATATGCTTGTCATAGCTTTCCTTCCAAGGAGTAAACTGTCTTTTAATTTCATAGTTGCAGTCACTGTCCACAGTGGTTTTGGAGCCCAAGAAAATAAAATCTGTCACTGCTTCCACTTTTTCCCCATCTATTTGCCATGAGGTGGTGGGACCAGATGCCATGATCTTAGTTTTTTGACTGTTGAGTTTTAAGCCAGCTTTTTCACTGTCCTCTTCCATCCTCATCAAGAGGCTCTTTACCCTCCAAGATTTGGCTTTAACTTAACCTTGTAGCCTTCTCTCCTTCCCGCTTCCCCTCCCTCCACTTACCAATCTCTGGAGCTACCTCCAGTTCCTGGCTAGCCCTTCTGCTGAGTCTCTCACTGTTTGGATTCTCTCTTCATTCTTCCCTCACTATTTCTTACTTACCCTTCAAGAATCAACTCAATACTCTTCTTGAAGAAGCCATCTTGATCACTACCATGCTGGATTGCATGTCCTGACTCTAGGCACTCAGAACACTTCACACACTTAACTTGGCTCTTATCGTATGTGATTAGAATTATTTATGCTTAGGTCTTTCTCTCCCATTATACTAGAAGGCAGTTAAGAGTGATTCGTTCATTATAAAAATCCTTGGAACCCAATGTCCTACTGTAGTCCCTGGCAAAGAGTAGGCATACAATAAATGTGAGTCTGAATGAAAACCAAAATGTGGGTTTTCAGCTTGTGGAAGGAGATTTATTGGTCAGGAGAATCATTAGCTTTATTCTTTATTTGAATTATCACCTGTGTTTGACATTTTAAATAGCCTTCCAAAAATAAACCATACCCAAGGGTATGACCTTGTCTCAAGAGTCACTTGTATGTATTTGTGTCAGCGTATGTTTGGGACTAACTCTTTCTAAAAAGCATTTCACTAAGATAAGCCACAAGGCAATCATTTTTTAAGTGTATCTGATTGACATCTTTCAAATTTGAATTACATAATTTTGTTGAAATTTTTTAGCATAAATTAGCTAGATCATGGAATAATACCTGAGTGCCTTAGAGAATAGGTAATATTGTGTGAAGGGAAACATAAGAAAGGATGTCAAGTAAATGGGGAGGAAGTTTGAAGCGGGTTGTAATGAGTGTTGGATCTTATATCCAAAAATAATGTTTTATATAAAATTGTGTAGAAAATGTTATATGTAAAATCAGTAAAAGTCCCTGGACTTTTATTAAATAAAATGTTGAAAGGCTTTATGTGGAATCTTGAACATGGTGGGGGTACTTTGGTCTGACTTTGTTTTATATTCTAATTGGAATGGATGTGTATCTCTATATGGCACCTGTACCTTCTGAAATACTTGTTCATCAACAGCAAGCACATAACAACTTCTTTCTGACTTACGTCAAAAGTAATTTTCCATCTGGAGATAAGGGTCAAAGCTTGAAACCAGTAGCCAAGGAAAACAGCAGTGAATATTTTAAAATATACAAAGTGATCTGTTAGCTGATATGCCGTTATTCAAAAGCTGTCTCTTTAGCTTCTACTACTTAGAGCTGCAAAAAGATGGAATTAGTCTGACCCATAACTCTTCACTCTCTTCTCTTCTGTAGTGGGATTGGAAGGAACTGGCCCTGGGCCTCAGGAGGGAGCAGTATTTTGGCAGAATTTGGAACTCTGCACTTGGAGTTTATGCACTTGAGCTACTTATCAGGAAACCCCATCTTTGCTGATAAGGTGAGATTCTCCAGTCGACCCTGCATTGCAAAAGAGTACTTGTAGGAAAAAATATCCTCTCTGGGGAGATTCAGGCATATGGAATATGGAACAGAACAGCCAAGTCTAATGGAGCCCTTCATGAAGTTTTGTTACGTGCAGCATTGCTTGTAACCAAACTATAAAGCACTATTTCATGGCACTGTTCTAACTCATTGCAAGAGGGCCTGCCTTACATGTCCAGTTCTCTGCACCTCCAGTAAGTAACTTCACCTCTCTGAATTTTTTCCCTTTTCTAAAAAACATACAGTGTTTTTGTGGACTATGTGAACCACATATGTGAAAGACTTTTTGAACTCAATTTTACAAATGCAAGGTCGCAGTTGAATTGATTTTTAATTTTCAGGAAACACACCCACCACCCACCACCCCGCCCTTGTTTAGCTTTCACCACGCTTTGCCAGCTCCCCTTCACGGCAGAATCCTTGGAAGCGTTGTCTGTGTGTGTTGTCTTCTCTGCCTGACTTCCACCTCCTGGAACGCTTTCCCGCCGGGCTTTCCTCCCAGCCACGCTGTTGCCACATCCAGTGACCCTTCTCATCTCTCCGTCTTCCTCGCCCTCCCAGCGCTGATGCACCGGATCACTTCCTTCTCCAGGAGGCTTTCTCTGGGCCTGGAGGCAGACACACAGTCCTCCCCTGGGTTGCTTCCTTCTCACTCTCTTCTGTTGGATCCTCCTTATCACCCCAACCTCTAAACACTGGAAAACCCCAGCCCTCAAACTGGGGGTTCTTCTTTTTACTTTCACTCTCTGCATTATTCTCCCATCTCGTGACTTTATGTGTTATCTGTATGCTGACTGCCTTCACATCTGTAAGTCCAGTCCCAACCTGCCCCCTGAACTCCAAGCTCTATAGCCAAGTACCTATTCAACATCTTCACTGTGAGGTCGCTCAGACAAGTCCCACCTAAAATGCCTCAGACTCAGCCCCCACACCTGCATCCACTCTAGTCTTGACTCTCTGGGGAAAGACGCCTCAGTTTATCCAAGGGCTCAGACCAAAACTCTTGAAGTCATCGTGGTTCTTCTCTTTTTATAAACCTCAGGTCCAAACCATCAAGAAATCTTCTGTCTCCATCCCCTGTGTATTACCCTGGTTCAGAGACCCATCATCTCTCACCTGGAGTATGCAGCAGCCGTCTGACTACCACTCCCTCTCTTAACCCCTCAGTCACACTGATCCTGTAAAATTACAAGTTTTCAATGGCTTTGCATCTTATTCAGATTAAGATATGATCTGTGAGGCCTGCACAGTGTGGGTCCTGTCTACCTTTGCTTCCTCACCTCCAGTCTCTGTGGTCTTGCCAAACCCACTGTCTTCTCAGTGCTTAAACCCTCTCCCAGTAACCTCCCCAGAGCACCCTAACCGAATGCAGCCTCACCACCTCCTATCACTCTGTCCCATTACCCCTTTGTATTTTTTATAGCTTTTATTGCCACTTGACTGTTTATTTGTTTCTTAGCTGTCTCACTCCACTGGATGCAAACTCCAAAACAGTAATGACTTTGTTTATCCAGTGTATCCACTGATACATTCTACTTCTTTATATGGTGTCTGGCATATGGTAATCAGTGTGACTATATTCACTGACTGTTGTTATTTGTAAGCTGGTGGCAACTATCCTTGTTCTAATACTGCATCATTTAAATCAACTGTTATTCTAACATGGGGAAAATGTAATCAAGAAAGAGAAGAATGGCAGCAAACTTGTTTTTTTCTTTAGATTTTTCATAGTAACATTTCATTTTCTGTTGTAGGTAATGAATATTCGAACAGTTCTGAACAACCTGGAGAAACCAGAAGGACTTTACCCTAACTATCTGAATCCCAATAGTGGACAGTGGGCTCAATGTAAGTCAAGAGTTCAGCCTTGTTTTAACTCTTTTATAGTACCCAGCGCTGTTCTACTAACAGAGAGAAGGAACACCAAAATAGCCCAAATCTTGTTGGAGAATCCTTAGAAAAGGGGCAAGTTCCCTTCATAAATAGGCTTCTGTTGTAAGGCAGACTGTAAATGTTACCAGGGGAACTAGATTGTTTATTTTTCATGCATAACTGTGAGCCTGATTAAGCACACTTAAAGGTGTTCATCAGAAAGGGAAGATCTGGTTAGGGTAGTGTGGGGATGATAGCCTCTAACAAACTGATTATGCAGATAAGAAAATTGTTCTTGGTGCTGATGACTAGCAGGGTTTGCCCAGAGTAGCTACAGCATTCTGTTTTGTAACATTTTCTCTTTCTGCTTGGCTCCAGGATGAAAGAGGAGCCTGAATCTTTAAGGGCTGAGAAATTGAAGGAGTAAACAGGGTACTTTTCTTTAGTCAGTTTTAAGGCGGCAGATAAAGGCTTCTCGCCAGGAGAGCTACCTTTATCATAGGAGAAAGTGTTGTGCTGGAAGCCCTCACTTAATATCCTGAGGGACTTTGACCAAGGATATAAAGACTCAGAGTAGCTGAAAGACATGTTCTCAGGCTGACTGGGGAAAACAGTGGCAGATTAAGCAGCACCTGAGAGCAAATGAAGAGCCCTAAGTGAGATGTCTAGCAGTGCCAAGGATGTTAGCGACGCCTTGGGATTTTACTCCAGAGTTTTTTCTTTATGTTTAAATAGGGTATTCTTAGATGAGTATGCCTCACTGTTACTTTACAAGTATTTTTCTTAAAGAATAATTTAGTAGGAAAAAAATGTGCTGAAATCTATGTCTGCATTAGTCATGTCTGTGGAAGGCTTGTCATTGACATCATAACTCCACAATCAAGGTTGCCACTTAACCTAAGCGTGGTCTGCTAGATCCTTAGATGTTCTCTGGACCTCTCGGGATCTCCACAATCAAAGCTATTTTTATAATAACACTTCTCACCGTGTTGACAGTTGGAGTTATGTTGCAAAAGCGGTGGTGAGTAAAACTCCTGAAGCCATAGTGAGAATCATGCCAGAGACACCAGATACTAATAGGCAAACCTCAGAAACATTGCAGGTTCCGTTTCAGGCCACTGCAGTAAATCAAATATCACAATAAAGCAAGTGACACAATTTTTTTGATTTCCCAGTGCATATAAAAGTCATGTTTATACTGTAGTCCATTAAGCATGCAGTACAATATTGTACAATATTGTATCTAAAAAGCAATATACTTACCTTAACGTAAAAATACTTTATTGCTAAAAAGTGCTAGCCATTTTCTGAGTCTTTAACAAGTCATAGTAGCATCAAAGATCACTAATCACAGTTGACCATAAAAAATATAATAGTAGTGAAAGACTTAGAAATATTGGAAAATTACCAAACTATGATCCAGAGACAGGAAGTGAGCAAGTGTTTTGGAGTCATGATACTGGACTTGCTGAATGCAGGGTTTTCACAAACTTCCAACTTCTAACAAACTCATTATCTGCAAAGGGCAATAAAATGAAGGGCAGTAACATGAGATTTGCCTGTGGTTATGTCCTTCACTACAGATAACCACAACAAATAAAAGATGCCACTTTCACTCATGAATGCTGTTAATGAAGCAAAACATTTACTGATTCTAGTAAATCTCAATCACTGAGTAGATCACATCCTTGTAATATTCTGTATGATTAAATGAAGAAGACACAAAACGCTTCTGCTGCATGATGAAAAACCTCATAGAAAAGCACTTGTGTTGTGATTTGAGTTGCAAGCTGAACTAGCTGCCGTGTTGTTTCATGAGTCATCATTTTTACTTGAAAGAAGTACTGAAGACAAACTGATTATTCAGACTTGGGTAATTGGTAAATGTCACAAAAATGAGCATATTGCTTCAAGGAAAATGAAGAATGTCTCTACCAAAGATAAAACTTGAGCTTATAATTAGAGTTTTGAAAAATTTGCACATGGCACCATAAGCTTAATGCCTTTCACCAACACTAAAAGATTCTGCTAAGATTGGTGTTGATATAACAGATATGGTTTTTTTGATGCTATATAGTCAAATGTATCATCATCTGGAAGATGTGCATAATTCAGAGAACCAGTATTTCCCAAATGACCATGTATGATGTTGCAAAATCATGTGTGAGAAAAAGTGCACTTAAAGTGCAAGATGGCCCAGTGGATTTTAATGTAATAGTACAAAAATTGATTGATGTGAGTTCTAACTCCACATTGTAACTGTTAAAAACTTTAACCACTTGTCAAGTTTTGTTTTAGTACCAAAAAAATTATCTGCAATTATCTGAAAAGACTATCAAAATACTTTTTGCTTTCCAACTATATAAATGTGTGAGGCTGCATTTTCTTCATATGTTTCAGCCAGTACAACATATAGCAACAGATTGAATGTAGAGCAGATATGAAAATCCAATTGTCTTCTAGTATAGCAAACATTAAAGAGATTTGCAAAAATGTAAAACGGTGTCTGTCTTCCCACTATTTTTTTTTTTTGGTAAAATATAGCATATTCTTCTGAAAAGCCTCTATATTAACATAATGGGTATATTATTACTTTAATAAAAATATTTTAAGTTCTGTTTAAATTTCCAATATGGTAAATATTGATATGCATGCATGGTAAGGTGCTCCAGTCATATCCGACTCGACTCTTCGGAATGTAGCCCACCATGCTCTTCTGTCCATGGGATTCTCCAGGCAAGAGTACTGGAGTTGGGTGCCCTCCAGGGGATCTTCCCAACCCAGGGATCGAACCCATGCCTCTTGTGTCTCCTTAATTGGCAGGTGGGCTCTTTACCACTAGCACCACCTGGGAAACCCAAATATTGATAGATATTACATAAATGAATTCTTCACCATGCTTATTCATTTTTAAGAGTGTTAAAGCATACTGAGGTTAAAAATGTGAGGGCCGCCATAATATTTGGGAAAAATAGAACTTGAGTAACTTTCTCAATTCAAGATAACTAGATACGATTCTCTGAAAGGAAAAGTATTTTTTAAGTTCTCCTCATGAAAGATTTCAAAAGTTAAAGAAGAGTCTCTGTGAGTTGCTCTTTCTTTCCTGTGTTATAGAATTTAGAGGTCACTATGAAGAAGGACAGAAAGAGTCAGTTGTTCTGGAACATCTCAGTTTCACCTTCTGGGTCACCAGTGTACTATGTATTGGTCCATGTTTCCTGGTACAAAGGGCCCTTTGTAATTGAATTGCTTATGGGCCAATTTCCTGATGGAAAAACAAATAGGGTTCATGCATCTCCTGCCTCTCTTCCCCCATCCCCATCCAATGTTCCAGCCACAAGGAAGATGCACTTTTTTTAATTCATTAATCAAGTTCTGCTTGGCCATATCTGGGGCTTGTCTTTTGTGCCTTCTCCCTCAGCCATTTTCCTGTTTTTCTAATCCTATCAAGAACTAACTCAATCACCCTTTCTTCTACATAGCCTTCTTCAAGACACGGTTTGGCAGTTGTTCACCCACTCCTCTTCTGCTTGCCCCCATCTTCCTCCCCCATCCCAACACGTTGGGTACCTTCCTATCACAGTCCTTTTCCTATTGGTTCATGTACGTATCCGTCTTCCTAGGCATCCACAACTTCTGAGGACAGTGACTTCGTCATATTTGTTAACCCATCACGTAATGTCTTCTAGCTAGTAGAAGTTTACTTGAATTTTGTGAATACTCGTGCAGTGTGTATCCAGTCTGACTCCTGCCTATGCTTTTAGTAATGGTTCTGTTTCTCCTCTCTGAACCATTTGTCTCCTGCTCCTCAATTGTGGTTGAGAGGCAGCATCTAGTCCTGATCACTAATAATATGTCGTGACTGTTGAGGCCAAAGATGGGGTTCCATGTCTATAAACAGAACAGCTGTCACCCTTCTTCAGTTAATAAAGACAACATTGTGTGTGTGTATAGTAACACCATATTATATATACATATAGTAACACAGTAATTATATATATGTATAAAATATGGTGTAACGAGCATCATTGGAGGATTGCTTTGAAGAGGGAAGTTCACATTCAGATGAAGTCTATAAAATTAAAGGGTTAAGATATTGAGTATATAATCCTTTTTTGTCTTGATTCTTTTGATCTTTTTTTCTCTTTTTAAGTAGCAGACATCCTTTTCTGGGACCTATTCCTATTGAAAAGAATAAATTACCCCTTTTATAGAAGAGTATAATATTTGAGTGACTGTCATATACATTATGTTTAGAGCGTTTGGGAATAAGAATACCATATATGTTCCTTCCAGTAGACAGTCCTTTCCTGCTGATAAAATGAGGCATGTTCTCTCTTACAGCCACTAAGATGTTTACACAGGACTTTGTTGCCAACACAAATAGTCATCCAGACATGGGGGGGAGCTTAGTGAGTGAAATGCTAAATTATAAAGAAGAGTTTTTCTTGTTTCTCCTCCGTATTCCTTTATGTTCCTTTATTTTGATTCTTTCCAAATATAAAAATTTTATAGGTAAAAAAAAATAGAAAACTAACTGGCATTAAATCAAATATGTAAACCCTTTTCCTTTTTTAAAAAAAATCACCAAATGCCCAAGCTTGCGTCTTCCTCCATTATAGAATCATAACCCAAGGGGGAGGAAAATGAGGCTGTTTCTGGCTGTTAGTTTTCAACTCTTATTGCTTTAACTCTAAAGGACATGTCTGAATCATGGCCATCATTTCCTATTACTTCATTTAGTCCCTGTTATTTTGACAGTAACTGGACAGAGATTTGCTTTACCATGCATCACTTGCATTTGTCTCCTGTGATCATGTTTATAACAACAAGGCTTCTTATTGATGAGATAGTACTTAGTCTGTTTAGTTTGTAAATGGCAGAGGTTTCTATGGTGGTTTATTTAGGAAATTGTAAAGGTCATGTCAAACTGCTATTTTAAGATTCAGCCTTACAATTATAAAAACACTAATTTTACAATAAAACTTAAACTGTAATTCTGGGCTTTCTGCAAAAGAAAATCACACATTAACTTAAAAATATATCCCCTCTAGGTTTCATAGATGTAGTCCTTAATAAGATTAACTTAAAAGAATTTGGGGCTTTGTTCATCAGTTATTTACTGAGTACCTACTATGTGCAAGATACTTCTTAGGGGTTGACGTGGGCTGGAAAGCATAACAGGTCTAGTGCCTACCCTCCTGGACCATAATCTCATGGAGAAGACACACACACACACACAAAAAGTCACCATTTTATGAAAGTGCAGATGTGGCAAACATGTGCTGTAAGAAAGTGCATGATGAGAGTGCCTAATGGGCAGTCTGACATATGAAATGTGAGTAAGGATTACTGAAGGAAGGGGAGAGGAGTCACGCTTCAGGCAGAGAGAACAGCACCTTGAGAGACCCTGAGGTGGGAAGGAGTCTGATTGTTTTGAGAAACCAAAAGAAGGGCCATATATCTAGAGGGTAGAGAGCAGGATGGATGATACAGGGAAGGTTGAGATCATGCAGGGCCTCCCTGGTCTCCAAAGACCCAGGATTTGATTCTTTAACATTAAAGGCATCAAGAAAAGGATGATCTGATTGACATGTTAAGAGTTGCTCTGGCATTAATGTGGAGGATAGATTGGAATGGCACTGCCATTGGAACCTTGTGTGATGCCGGAAATGTGCTGTATCTTCCCTCCAGTGCCGTAGCCAAGGCCTCATGTAGCTCTTGAGCACTAGTAGGGCTGAGGAACTGACTTTTTAATTAGTTTAAATAGCAAAATGTTGTCACGATGCTGGAGACAAGATTATTTGCCATTGCAGACTCAGGCATAGTGGTAGCTCAGGTCAAAATTGTATTAGTGAAGACAGGAAGGAGTGGATGGACTCGAAAGATACATTGGGGGTAAAATTAGTAGAGTTCAGTAACTCAGTGAATGTGGGAGTGAGGGAGAGAAGTAAAGAATGAGCATCTGATGTCTGACTTACGTAGACCTGGCAGTATGATGGTGCCACTTAGTGAAATAGGGACCAAGGCTAAGATAAGGTTGAGGAGGGAAAGATAATATATTCATTCTTATTACCTCTTCAATTTTAGGTCCCAGTGTCCAAGTTTCATTGTTGGGTGGGACTCAGGAGAAAATTGTTTGAATAATGGTATAAAAATCAGTTTACTTTTGTGTAACTAAGTCAACAAATACTTTTTTAATAGATACATAAAATTAGTTTTAAGGTTTGACACTTCAAATGCAAATTTCCCAAATAAGACCATCTTATTAATGCTCAAATTGTCTGTGAATTCTAGGAATGATCTTTCAAAGAGAGTGTGTCTCTGTTTTTATAGGTAAATATGCTTGGAAAATGTATTAATTCAAGTAGTAGGCAAAAGAATACATACAGTTGGTGTATATATTGGAGAGCACGTGATTGCAAATTTGAGACCCTGTGTGGGCTGGAGAGTCACTTGGCACCTACCAGTGTTAAAATCTCATTTAGCTCCTCTAAGCCTCTTACCTCATTTTTAAAGAGGATTACCTACCTACAAGTTACAAGATTGTTTATAATATATGTAGTGGATCTAGCATAATAAATGACGGTGGAGGGGTATTGTAGGAATGGAGTACAATCCATCCTTCCTATCTATAGAGTATAGCTTCCAGGACTCCACAATTCCAAAATTCATGGATGCTCATTCCCTTATATAAAATGGCATAGCATTTGCAAGTAACCTATGCATATCCTCCAGATACTTTAAATCATCTCTAGAGTACCTTTAATACCTGTGTGCATGTGCATGCTTAGTTGCTCAGTCATGTCTGCCTCTTTGTGATCCCATGGACTCTAGCCCACCAGGCTTCTCCGTCCACAAGAGTTTTCCAGCAAGAATACTGGAGTGGTTTGTCATTTCCTCCTACAGGAGATCTTCCCAACCCAGGGATCAAATCCATGTCTCCTGCACTAGCAGGCAGATTTTTTACCACTGCGCTACCGTTAATACCTAATACAGTGTAAATGCTATGTAAATACAGTATAAATGCCATTAAAATCATATTTGGCTGTGTGTGGCAAGTTCCAGTTTTGCTCTCTGGAACTTCCTCGAATTTTTTTGCCATATATTCAATCCACAGATTGGATCTACTTACAGGGAGCCCACAGATGCAGAGGGGTGACTGTATTAGGAAGAAAAACTTCTGCCCTGTCTTCTTTCTTACTGGCCTCCCCTAAAGAATTTTGACCCTTCCGATTGATAATACTACAAAAGCTATCAAATAATAATAATTACAAGAAACTGAGGAGTTTCTGGTTATATTTCAAGCCAGGTTTTTTTTTTCTTTTTTTGTAAGATATAATGATACTCATAGCTTTGACATGATTTATTATCTTACTGAGAGATAAAGCAATTAAAATTTCTGATTTATAGTGAAACATTTTAATTTAGTATTTTTTCTAATGAAACAGAATTTTAGAATTAGGGTTGATTATTTTTTATCTGCATGTTTATAAAACTACAGTGGTTATTATTTAAAGTATATCACATTAATTAACAGCACATCTGCTCATTTCAGAATATCTTTCTGAAAACAGGAGATTTGTTGGAATTTAAATGTAACATTGACTTGCTGTTGACTTGGGCTTTTGTATCCTACTTACTGATGTGATTTTACTGTATTATCTGAATTAAAGTCTGAATCACTCTAAAATTCACTTTCTTCTCTTTGCAGATCATGTATCAGTTGGAGGACTTGGAGACAGTTTTTATGAATATTTGCTAAAGGCATGGTTAATGTCTGATAAGACAGATCTCCAGGCTAAGAAAATGTATTTTGATGCTATTAAGGTAAACACAAATTTAAATCATTATTGGCACTCAGCTAACTTATAACTTGCATATTAATCAAGCTTTAATGAAACAATGAAATACTACATGAGTAGGTTGCAAAATATTTCCAGTTAGGTAGAATTCAATATGTGCTAGTACAATTACAACAATAATAATCATACTTGATATGGTTTAGTTCTAATAGGGCAGTTAAAAGTTTTTTCATGGATTCACACATCTGAAAATGAGGTATTTTTCTTCAACAAGTGTGAGTTCCCTGTTAAAGTCACAGTTAAAATTATTGTAAAATCCTGAATTTATATTCTAAAAATTAAGTAAGTTAAAATTACCCAAGATTACAGACAGTCCTAATGGCTACTTCCATATTATGTACAGTACTTTGAAATAAAAATGTGAAGTAACCAAACTAATCTGTAAGGGACGATTATTAATAGTTTTCAAAGGTCCTTGTGATAGAAGAGGAATGAGGGGGACCAAATATTTGTTGATTTACTGTGTGCTAAGTAGTGGATTAGGTAAATATATAATATGTTTGTTTCCTTAAATAGTTTTTTTGTTTTTATTTTCCATTGGAGTATAGTTGACTAACAATGTTGTGTTTTTTTTTTTTTAAGTGAGATGTAGTTGATGTATGATAGTATATTAGTCTCAAATGTACTATATAGTGATTTGACATTTGTGTATGTTATGAAATTATCTCCCACAGTGAGTCTGGTAACCATCTGTCCCCATACAAAATTATTACAGTATTATCAATCATGTTCTCTTCATATCCTCATCAACGCTTGTTACCTGTTGTCTTTTTGATGATTGCCATTCTGACAGGTGTGATGTGATAGTTCATTGTGGTTTTAACTTGCATTTCCCTGATAATGAGTGATGTTGAGCATCTTTTCATGTGATTGTTGGCCATCTCTCTGTCAGCTCGCTTCTTTGGAAAAATGTCTCTTCAGGTTTTCTGTCCATTTTAATAGGGTTGTTTGTTGAGTTGTATGAGTTCTTCGTGGATTTTGTTTAATCCTTTTATCAGATATATTTTCAAATATCTTCTCCCATTTAGTAGATGGCCTTTCGTTTTTTTTGTTGTTGTTGTTCGTTTCCTTCACTGTGCAAAAGCTCTTTAGTTTGATGTAGTCTCCCTTGTTTGATTTTATTTTCCTTCCCTAAGGTGACAGATCAAAAAACGATATATGGAATTCTCCAGGCAAGAATACTGGAGTGGATAGCCATTCGCTTCTCAGGGGATATTCCCAACCCACAGATTGAACCCAGGTCTCCTGCATCACAGGCAGATTCTTTACCATTTGAGCCACCAAGGAAGTCATATAAATATAAATATACAGTTCTAGGACCAATATCAGAGAATGCACTGCCAATATTTTCTTCTAGGAGCTTTATAGTTTCAGATCTTACACTTAAGTCTTTAATCCATTTTGAATTTATGTTTATATATGGTGTGAAAAAGTAGTCCAGTTTGAGTCTCTTGCATGTAGCTATCCGGTTTTCCCGTCACCACTTTTTAATTGGAATGTAATTATTTTACTGTGTCGTGTCGGTTTCTGCTGTACGATGAAGTGAATCAGCCACATGCATACATATATCCCATCTCTCTAGATTTAATATTACACTGGTTCCCTCCAAGGTCAATAGTGAACTTTACTACACAGAGCAGATGCAGCTCTTTAATATAGGAACCAGACACCTTAGTTAGAACACTGGCCTTCATTTCACACAGCCTTTAAGACACTCGATAAACATTAAAAGCAGATTAGGATATGGTCCATATGCCCTCTTGCAGATTTATTTTTTCTTTATTCCTATGAAGTTTCAGGTTTTAACTCAGGGAGTTCTCCATACAGTATGGTTTCCATCATATCATTTTTAATTACTGTCCTGGCAGACATTTTAATTATTCTAATCTTAAAAGTGGCCCCCTAAGATCTTGATGTTTTAGGAAAGACAACTTTAAAAGACTCTTTGAAATACTTTTCCCTTGGTTTCTAGAACTATACCCACCTAGCTCTTAACATACTGTATTTAGACAAACCATTGACAGGAAAATCCATTAAGAGCAAATGAAGTCAAAGTGTTTCCTCCTTCTCTTAATAGTAAAAACACTTTCAATCCATATTGTGTTTTTCAACTTAGAAAGCAAAGTTAGAACAATTACACTTTTGATTTGAAGAAGTAGTCATGTCTTACATAGTAAAGTTTCTTTGTGCTGGTTTTATTTTGCTGCTTGCGTGCTTGCTAAGTCGTTTCAGTCATGTCTGATTCTTTGCCGCCCTGTGGACTGAAGCCCACCAGGCTCCTCTGTCCATGGGAGTCTCCAGGCAAGAATGCTGGAGTGGGTTGCCATGCCATCTTCCAAGAGATCTTCCCGGTCCAGGGATCGAACCTGTGTCTCACATTTCCTACATTGGCAAACGAGTTCTTTAGCACTATCACCACCTGGTTGTACTTTAAAAGATCATTGTTATGAAGCAGAGAATCGCTTGCATTGTTGTTCTGGACAGTTAATTTACTGGGCGAGTAGTCCATCAACTTAAGCTTCTAGTGCCTTTTGAAAATCATGTAATCCCAGAATGGCATGTTTTTTTGGTTTGTGTTAGTAACAGATACTTCTGAGTTTTTAGCCGGCTGCTATGTGGCCTCATCTGAAAGCCATGCTAAGAATCCATGATGATAGATTCTCATGCTGCCAGAAGGTCCATTGGACTGACCTGGACAGATGATGTATTAGGCATTTAGGATTCTAGAGGCACATCGAACTAATTTTTTTCAAATATAGAAGGATGAAATCACAAAACATACAACTTTTTTTTCCTAATCAATTCTCTATAGGCTTGACACAACTGGACTAATTTTTCCTCCTTTATATTTATTTACATTTTCCCATTGCCACACAAACATTGTTTCAAAAGTCTTGGAACTTCACTGTAGTTTGTTTTGAGAGATAGTGACTTGGTCAGAATCATGCCAAAAATAATATAGTACTTTATTCAGGATCCATAACAGGGTAATAATGTTTCTGTAATGCATGCTCAAAGCTATTACTCTTGCCATGTAGAAAGAATAATTTCTTGGGTGATGAACAAGTATCTGCTTGAAGGACTTTATTGCAATTTGTGCTATGAGAAGTGTAAATATCTAAGATGTTCAGTTGCATTAAATAAGAATGAAATACTAATGTAATAACTAGACTATCAATAAAATTAGCTTAACCACAGTTAATGAGCACAGTAGTGTGTTCATTTATTTCCTACCATCTTGGTTTCATTTGTTTATTTCCAATAAAGGTAGAAGAGGTTTTATCTACCTATGCATTTATTTTCATTCATTCTTCTCTACCACAGTTTTGTGTGTATTTACTACAGGCATGCCTCAGAGATATTGTGGGTTCAGTTCCAGACCACTGCAGTAAAGCAAGTAACATAGTAAAGCAACTCACATGAAATTTTTGGTTGTCCCATGCATATAAAGTTATATTTACACTACACTTTAGGCTATTAAGTGTACGATAACAGTATGTATAAAGCAAGCAATGTATACACTCTGGTTAAAAATACTAACCATCATCTGAGTCATAATAGTAACATTAAAGATCACAGATACAATTCACCATAATGAATACAATAATATTGAAAAGGTTTGAAGTATTGCGAATTATCAGAATGTGACCCAGAGACATGAAAAGAGCAAATGCTGTTGGAAAAACAATGCTGATAGACTCTTAACACAGGGTCACAGCAAAACTTCAGTTTGTGGAAATAGAATATCTGCAAAGTGTAATAAAGCAAAGCACAATAAAAAAAGGTATGCCTGTATTCTCAAATGTGCTTCCTAAAAATCTCTTTTTTGATGATACTATAACAGTTATAGGCACAGTCATAGCCCTTCTCCTTCCAAGAAGTATTAATAATTGAGGGTGTGGGGGGATATTTCCTATTTAAGTAATAAAAATAGCAATGCCAAGCCCTTACACTACAACTGTGTTTTTTTTCTGATAAGGCTTATTTTCTTTATATACACAGAAGAATATCAACAGTTCTGGGGCAGAAATAACCAAAGATGTTTAGTCATTTTTGTAAAATCATTTCTCCCAAATTTAAAGACCTGTTTTCTTTTAAAAAAAAATACGTATTCATCACATATTAATATCCTTTTTAATAGAATTATTAGGGAGGAATTTAATTCATGTGTTACCACAGTGGTGATGTGATGATAATACATGGATTTTATCAAGTGCTAATCACTGTACTCTGTCTATCAGATCTAGTCCCTTAAATCTATTTCACACTTCCACTGTATAGTCATAAGGGATTTGATTTAGGTCATACCTGAATGGTCTAGTGGTTTTCCCTACTTTCTTCAGTTTAAGTCTGAATTTGGCATGACATTGTACAGGAGACAGGGATCAAGACCATCCCCAAGGAAAAGAAATGCAAAAAGGCATAATGGTTGTCTGAGGAGGCCTTACAGATAGCTGTGAAAAGAAGAGAAGCGAAAAGCAAAGGAGAAAATGAAAGATATACCCATTTGAATGCAGAGTTCCAAAGAATAGCCAGGAGAGATAAGAAAGCCTTCCTCAGTGATCAATGCAAACAAATAGAGGAAAACAACAGAATGGGAAAGACTAGAGATCTCTTCAAGAAAATTAGAGATATCAAGGGAACATTTCAGGCAAAGATGGGTTCGATAAAGGAACGAAATGGTATGGACCTAACAGAAGCAGAAGATATTAAGAAGAGGTGGCAAGAATACACAGAAGAACTGTACAAAAAATATCTTCACAACCCAGCTAATCACAATGGTGTGATCACTGACCTAGAACCAGACATCCTGGAATGTGAAGTCAAGTGGGCCTTAGAAAGCATCACTACGAACAAAGCTAGTAGATGTGATGGAATTCCAGTTGAGCTATTTCAAATCCTGAAAGATGATGCTGTGAAAGTGCTGCACTCAATATGCCAGCAAATTTGGAGAACTCAGCAGTGTCCACAGGACTGGAAAAGGTCCGTTTTCATTCCAATCCCTAAGAAAGGCAATGCCAAAGAATGCTCAAACTACCGCACAATTGCACTCATCTCACACACTAGTAAAGTAATGCTCAAACTTCTCCAAACCAAGCTTCAGCAATACGTGAACTGAGAACTTCCAGATGTTCAAGCTGGTTTTAGAAAAGGCAGAGGAGCCAGAGATCAAATTGCCAATATCCACTGGATCAATGAAAAAGCAAGAGAGTTCCAGAAAAACATCTATTTCTGCTTTATTGACTATGCCAAAGCCTTCAACTGTGTGGATCACAATAAACTGTGGAAAATTCTGAAAGAAATGGGAATATCAGACCACCTGACCTGCCTCTTGAGAAACCTGTATGCAGGTCAGGAAGCAATAGTTAGAACTGGACATGGAACAACAGACTGGTTCCAAATAGGAAAAGGAGTACATCAAGGCTGTATATTGTCACCCTGCTTATTTAACTTATATGCAGAGTACATCATGAGAAACGCTGAGCTGGAAGAAGCACAAGCTGGAATCAAGATTGCTGGGAGAAATATCAATAACCTCAGATATGCAGATGACACCACCCTTATGGCAGAGAGTGAAGAAGAACTAAAGAGTCTCTTGATGAAAGTGAAAGAGGAGAGTGAAAAAGTTGGTTTAAAGCTTAACATTCAGAAAACTAAGATCATGGCATCTGGTCCCATCACCTCATGGGAGATAGATGGGGAGACAGTGGAAACAGTGCCAGACTTCATTTTTGGGGGCTCCAAAATCACTGCAGATGGTGACTGCAGCCATGAAATTAAAAGACGCTTACTCCTTGGAAGGAAAGTTATGACCAACCTAGATAGCATATTAAAAAGCAGAGACATGACTTTGCCAACAAAGTTCTGTCTGGTCAAGGCTATGGTTTTTCCAGTGGTCATGTATGGATGTGAGAGTTGGACTGTGAAGAAAGCTGAGCACCGAAGAATTGATGCTTTTGAACTGTGGTGTTGGAGAAGACTCTTCAGAGTCCCTTGGACTGCAAGGAGATCCAACCAGTCAGTCCATCCTAAAGGAGATCAGTCCTGGGTGTTCATTGGAAGGACTGATGCTGAAGCTGAAACTCCAATACTTTGGCCACTTCATGCGAAGAGCTGACTCATTGGAAAAGACCCTGATGCTGGGAGGGACTGGGGGCAGGAGGAGAAGGGGACGACAGAGGATGAGAAGGCTGGATGGCATCACCGACTCTATGGACATGAGTTTGAGTAAGCTCCGGGAGTTTGTGATGGACAGAGAGGCCTGGCATGCTGCGATTCATGGGGTCACAAGGAGTCGGACACGACTGAGCGACTGAACTGAACTGATCACTGTACTGACTGCTTTATAAACATAATGTTGCAGTTTTCTCAATGGATACTACTATTCCTATTTCATGGATAAGGATACTGAGATTTAAAGATACAGGAAGCAAATTACCCACAAAGTTTACAGATAGTAAATGTCAGTGCTGGAATTTGAAGCCAGGCAATTGGGGCTTCCCAGACTAAGCAGTGGTAAAGATCTACCTGCCAGCACAAGAGATGCAAGAGATACTGGTTTGATACCTGGGTCGAGAAGATCCCCTGGAGTAGGAAATGACAACCCACTATAGTATTCTTGCTTGGAAAAACTCCATGAATAGAAGAGCCTGGCGTGCTACAGTCCATGGCATCGCAGAGTCAGACACGACTGAGCAACTAGGCACATACATACACAAAGTCTGACTGACTGGAAAACGGCTCCGTTTTCTCCGCTCTGTTTTGCCACCCTTTCAAGCCCTAGGGAGAAAAAGGAAGAGTAATAGCACTAGCCTGGGTTTTATACACAAATATGCTCTGTTCATTATTCAGAGCTGAGCCTGTGATTTGTGTTATTTTTGCAAATGGAAATGCATTAAAGCAGCTCTCACTCCTATAACAGTAGCCTGTCTTTGAAAAGGAGACAACTTTTCTGGTCTGAGGACTACAAGTGTTTGATCATGGAACCAAGCCAAACCTACAGGGCTGGCCCAACAGCATTAATTCTAACTCACCAAATGAGCAAAGCATAGATTAGAGGAGATATACGAGAGCAATAAATGAAATTTCAAGTTGAATTGTATTTATGGAACCAAATTCAAATTGTGAATGAGGTTTTATTCTTTCATATATATATATATACACACACACACACACACATATAATGTTGTGGTGAAAGTGAATATGTTAGTTGCTCAGTCCTATCCAACTGTTTGCGACGCCATGGACTGTAGCCCACCAGGCTCCTCTGTCCATGGGATTCTCCAGGCAAGAATACTGGAGTAGGTTGTCATTCCCTTCTACAGGGGATATTCCCGACCCAGGGATCGAACCCTGGTCTCCTGCATTGCAGACGGACTGTTTACCATCTGAGCCACAATGTGTTTTTAGTATAAATCTGAGAAAAGATTACAAAATGTTGAAAATGCGTATTATTTTCAGGCTATTGAGACTCACTTGATCCGGAAGTCCCGTAACGGCCTGACTTACATCGCAGAGTGGAAAGGGGGCCTCCTGGAACACAAGATGGGCCACCTGACCTGCTTTGCTGGAGGCATGTTTGCACTCGGGGCAGATGACGCTCCTGAAGGAATGACCCAACACTACCTTCAGCTTGGGGCTGAAATTGCCCGGACCTGTCATGAATCTTACAATCGCACCTGTGAGTCCCTGTTACTCTTCATATGTAATCTTTGTGCTTTTTATTTCATTCAGTAAGTAGCTTTGTCTATTTGTTGCCATCAAAAGAACATCCACTGTGCCTGATGAATATTTGATGATTATGATTAATATCTTAAAGGAATTTACATTTTTACTTTAAGAGGCATTGCTTTTCTGCATAAAAATGTTTACCCTTAGTTTCAGTTCAGTTCAGTTCAGTCGCTCAGTCGTGTCCGACTCTTTTCGACCCCATGAATCGCAGCACACCACCCTTAGTTTACCAATAAACAAAAATCCAGGCCATAAAAGGTCCAGTCTAACTTATTGACCCTGCTTTATGTAAATAATATTGGGTGAGAGTCCCTGTCCTAATACAGAAGAAATTTGGTATGTTATAAACCATTATTAATCTTCCCAGAGTCTCCATGAAATATACAATGCATGCTAAGTTGCTTCATTTGTATCTGACTCTGTTGACCCTATGGGCTGTAACCCACCAGGCTCCCCTGTCCATGAGATTCTCCAGGCAAGAATACTGGAGGGGGTTGCCATGCCCTCCTCCAGGGAATCTTCCCAACTTAGGGATCAAACTCATGTCTCCTAAGTCTCCCACATTGGCAGGCAGGTTCTTTTCCACTAGCACCACCTGGGAAGCCCCATATGATGAGTCTAGCTGCCTTCTTATAAAAGTTTGATGCACAAATACTATATAACATTCATGCCATAATGACTTAGAATTCATGCCATACATTCATGCCATAATGACTTAGAATTCGCAAAAGCTAATTTTTTAGTTCACTAATAAGGTGGTGCTTTGCACCGACCCAGTGAGTACTCAGTAAATGGTGGTAAAATGAAAGAAAATAAAGGATTATTACCACTTTCTTAAATGTACTCCTTTCAGTGGATAAATTAAAAATGTATATTGAATATTGCTTGTTTTACAGTGTTTATGGCTATTCCTTAAATTGATCATTTTGGCACCCCTCTTAAATGTTTTAAAGTATCTTTTAATTTCATTTAAGTTATAGACACTAAGCATTGTCAGAGACAGTAACCCTTGTCCCCCACTGCATGTCTTTTAGTTGTGAAACTGGGACCAGAAGCTTTCAGATTCGATGGTGGTGTTGAAGCCATTGCTACGAGGCAAAATGAGAAATACTACATCTTACGGCCAGAAGTTGTTGAGACTTACATGTACATGTGGCGGCTGACTCATGATCCAAAGTACAGGAAATGGGCCTGGGAAGCTGTGGAGGTGACGTTTTAGTTTGCTTGTGTTTCTTACAGGAATGTGTGTGTGGAAAAAATGTTCAGTGATCCCCATCAATCTAGCATATTAACTCTCCTGTGATTCTTAAAGCTTAAAGCTTTGCCCAGCCATCTTTCCATTCAAGAATGAGTGTTTTCAGTTAGGTCATCTCACATCCCTGCCTTCAGCTCTGCTTTTTGTATATAAATATACCTACTCTGGTATTGAAGGAGAATCTAGAAAGACCTATTATAAAATTAAGTTCTCATGTTTATAAAAACATTGATCAGTTAATCCCACAAAGGATATCTGGCAACTTGGGAATAGTCACCCTTACCTATTGTGTGTTTCAAGAAACCACTGTATGATTGTTTCTTTTAGTCTTTGAGCATCACAGTGGTAATATATGCTTTTAATTAGAGCAAATGAGCTACTTAGATCTAGCTTTTAGACAGTACCTATAGAAGAACTACTTTGTACACGAATATTCCAACATGAGTCTCAGACTCCTCAGAATATGTGTAAGCTTTCTATCTGTCCAGTGTGTTATTTGGATTTTCTTGGCGTTTCATGGATCTCTTCCTGCTAAATATGATGTATCATCTTTCTAAACTAATCTGTTGAACACTTTGTGTGCTGAATGCCAGAGGTGGTGCACTTTAGGATATGCATCAAACAATGTCTAATTTTAAGAGCTATTATTTCAAAAGGAGTGGGAGGAAATTCAGGGGATAAGAACAGGGAAATGCTTTAATTATCAATACACTCTCTCTTATTGTCTAGCACTCTTTGTTAGAAAGTTAGCTGTCTTTTAAGACCATTAGGAATAACTTCTCTTAGGAAATCTAAAATGAGCATTGCCTTTGTGTATAATTTAATATCTTAGGAAGCTGTTGATGAATCTTGCTTATTACTCTTTTCATTTGTTATGTATCTTATCACCAGTTGTCAGTTATTTTAAGTAATAGAAATTCTTTAGGCCTCTTTTTTTTTTTTTTTTTGCAAAATTTTCTAATTATGGTTAGTCAGTTGTAATTCCAATTTCTTTATGTTTTTTCCTCTGAATAAAAAGTGTATTAAAATTGAGGTTCAGCTAAGCTTTGGTAATTGGGAATTATTTTGGTCTTCAATAGGCCAGCAAGGAAATTAAGGTTAACACTCACTTGCAAGGATCAGTTTAAATTAAAAATTTCAGTAATAACATTTCCTCAAATATGAAACACTATAATTGATAAGAAACACCATTATTTTATATACCATTAATAAATACCAATTAAATTATAACATGCCAATTTTAGAGATGTTAAAAGTGTGAAAAAAAAATTGCATGACGGAAGTTTGCCATGTGGGCAGAAAGCTTTGATTTGCTTGCTGCTTGGGGACGGGGTTGTCTGTAGGGTATGAAGGTTGGTTTGATATGTTAGGGTTTTTATCTGTTGACTCCTTTTACTGTAGCATATGATGTCAAATTGTTTGCTTGTGTGCAACACAGGAACTCCCCCGTGTTTGCCTGTGGTAACTTCTGTTAGAACTTGAAATGTAGTGGGGTGGGCGGTGGGGGGAGGAGTGCTGGGGCCTCTTGCCTCCTGTGAAAAAGCGCGAAGATCATAGACTTAGAAGGAACAGCAGCCCCTTTTTTCCTTTTCTGCTGTGTCCCGTCCCCCAGCCCTCCCTGCGTCCTGGCCCCAGCTTCAGTGGACAACACCCTGGCCTGCTGGTCCTGTTATGCGCTTCTCAGCTGTTCTGACTCAGAGCCTCTTCCCAGGCAGCTGGCGGGGCTCTGGGACGTGTGGGAGGCTGAAGCCCCAAGCGCCCTCAGCCACTGAGGTTTTGGAGTTGATACATCTCTATCCCAGAATAGTTATTCCCAAGAGTCATTCTGAGAGGCATTCTGTTTGGCTCTCTAAAGGGTTTCAGGCGGGAGCCAGCTCGGCACACAGCTGTGACCTCTCCATGTGTATTTCACCGCTCTCCTCCCTTCCTCACTTCACTTTCCCCACCAGCTCGATCGCTTCCTGATGACACCGCTGTAAAAAGCTCCCTGCATCCAACCCATGTCTCATGCTCCGTTTTTGGAGGAACCCATGTCCAGAAGCTGAGTCCCAAAGATTGTAGTGAAATGATACTCTGATCAGACTAAGCGTCCTGGGTATGTGGCCCCTTCCACTGTCGAGAAACTGTAAAGCCAGTGACTGTCATGGGGGCCCAGGAGAGCTGTTCGCCCCGTTTCACATCTCTGAAGTCTTAAGATTTAGACTTGACATGAAGGCTTTTTTACTTTTTGAAAGTTAAAAACGCCTCTTTGGCATTTCTCCCCGCCTTGTTTTTCTTTTCAATTTACCGAAAACCTCAAAAAATTAAAGTAGCAAGGCCCCTCTAAACTTCCCCGGTGGCCCTAGCGGTGAAGAACCCACCTGCCAATGCCTGAGACATAAGAGGCGTGGTTTCCCCGGGTTGGAAAGATCCCCTGGAGGAGGACATGACAACCCACTCCAGTATTCTTGCCAGGAGAATCCCCGTGGACAGAGGAGCCTGGCGGGCTATACAGTCATAGGGCCACAAGGAGTCGGACACAACTAAAGCGACCTAGCACACAGGCAGGCCTCTCTAAACTTCTGAAAGGCCCGCACGGTGCTAATAATAATGTGTCATCATCTTGTTCTGTTCTCAGGACAACCTCATGTTGAGAAAAAGGATGCTCCCTGGATCCAGAAAACTGAGGCCACAGTTAGGAAGTCTAGAGCTGGGAATCAGCCCCTACCTCTAAAATGTCAGATTGTGTTCTTGACTACTCTGGTTCACCACGTGAGGCGTGGGAGAGAAAAAAGAATGAGTGGAAGTGAACTGAATGATGAAAAATGTTTGGGCAGCACCTGCCCACAAAACAACTCTGTTTTTCTATAACAAAAGAAGGAGCTTATAGAAATTTCTGGTCCCTGGGTCGGGAAGATCCCCTGGAGAAGGAAATGGCAACCCACTCCAGTATTCTTGCTTGGAAAATCCTATGGACAGAGGAGCCTGAGAGGCGATAGTCCATGGGGTCACAAAGAGTCGGACACAACTGAGCAACTAACACATTATCACATAGAAATCTCTATAGGAAAGAAGGTTAGCTGTTTATCGTGCCTGGCCCTCTTTAGTTTCTCTCATTACCAAAGACCTTCAAGGGACAAATGAAGAAAAATTTTTGTGGATAAAATCTTCTTTTAAGGAAATGTCTGGGCATAGGATTTCATTACATTCAGTAACAACATTTCTTCTGAATCTTTATTTTTTTACCCTTTTTTACAAATAATTTTTGGCCTACTCCATGTATCTGGTATTTGACTTTTTATCAAACAGATCAGTTATCAAAAAAGGAAGGAAGGAAAAATATAATAGAGCCTGAAATTTCCTTTCTTCAGGCTTTCCCTCCATTTAGTTCTTTGTCTGAAACTAAGAGTATAATCGAAACTGTTTTTTTTTAAGTTGATTGTTCCTATGTTCCTTAGGGCTTTTAAAAAGTTCTACACTAGGAGACATGTTCACGTAGCCTGCCACTTAGATTTTCTTTCACCTGGTAATTAAAAGCTTTTTCTCCCGACCAATGCTGTCTCCCTTCTGCCCTCCAGCCCTAGGGTGTGGAATCAATATCCTCATTATCAGTGTCTGCAGATGGAAGTGGATCACTCACCACCACATTCCTGCTCCCTGCCTTTGCCCTCCACCTCACCTTTTCCAGGCTCTGCATTCTTAGAGCCATACTTTCCTCTGAGATCCTTTTCTCCCCCATGAAGATTTTTCTCAATTAATATGGCAAGAACTATGCCATATCTTCTTGGTAGTTGAGCTGAATAGGAGAAAAATGCAATGTAATTATACAAATTTTTTTTTAAGAGGGACAAGTTTGTGATCTGTAGAAGAAAACTGAAAAATAACCTAAAGAATACCTTTATCTTATTCATGTTTCCTTTATGTCATTAAACATTGTAAGGGACCTAATCTTACACTTTATTATTTTTGTCCACATTCTATGAATTAGAACCAGATTTCCAATAAGAGTTTGTATACAGTAGGAATCTTTATTTGACCATATAGTTATTAAAATGAATAGAATGTAGTGAGTAGAAAATAACTTCCTGGAGATGATTGTACCTGGTAACCAGTAAGGCAAACCAGTGTGATATCCAAATATCCAATACAGAGAGCAGTCAGGTTAGCAGTAACTGACACAATGGAAGGCAAGTTATTTTAAAATTTTGTGACCTAAATTTTCATCCCTTGTCTTTTCCCATCTCTGCCTATAATACTTGTAGTCAGGCAACGGTAGGAATGTAGGATCATTTCTCTCTGGGTTAGTTATCAGTGGATTAATCCCATCTTCTTCCATCTCAGTCTAAAAGAAAAGAAAAGTATATTTCAGAAATAGATGCCAGCCATGATTTTCTCCGCTGGTTTTCATTTTCTCCTGTTATATCTGTCAGTCACCAATATCACTCATTAGTACTCTGCTATTGATTTTTTAAAGATGAGATGTTCTGATGACAGTAGCACCCTCTCTGAACCAGTGGTTTAGAATCCCAGTTACATTAGCAGTCTTTCCAGATCAGGTGTCAGCAAACTTTCTTAAGAGCCAAAGAGAATTAGGCTTGGGGGCCATAAGCATTTACTTAGCTCTGCCACTGTAGTGAAAAACAGCCATACACAATACATAAATGAGTGTGTCTGTGGTTCCATCATACTGTATTTACAAAAACAAAAAGCAGGCTGGATGTACCTTGTGGTCTGTAGTTTGACGAATCTTGCTCTAGACCATAAGAAGAAATGGTTAAAGAAAAAAAAAAAACACTGAAAAATTATTCCAAAATTAAATGTAAAAGTGTTTCCAGTTAGGTGAGATATACTGTCCATGGGCTTCCCAGGTGGTGCTAGTGGTGAAAAGGCCTCCTGCCAATGCAGATAGACATAAGAGACCGGGGTTCTATCCCTGGGTCGGGAAGGTACCCTGGAGGAGAGCATGGCAACCCACTCCAGTATTCTTGCCTGGAGAATCCCATGGACAGAGGAGCCTGGCGGGCTACCGTCTATAGGGTTGCACAGTTGGGCACAACTGAAGCAATTTAGCATGCACATACTGTCCATAGGTCCTTTAACTTTTCATATTCTAAATTTTCACCTGAAACTATTGCCATCTGTCATTCAGTTTAAATCCTTATTTTATTTAAATGTGACAGTCTAATAGTAAAACTTTGTGACAGCAAGTTTCCTGAAATGTGACCATTTTTCCCCTCCTGTTTGTGGTGTAGGCCCTGGAGAAACACTGCAGAGTGAAAGGAGGCTATTCCGGCCTCAGGGATGTTTACTTCAACAAGGAGAGCTACGATGATGTGCAACAGAGCTTCTTCCTGGCAGAGACACTAAAGTAAGTAAAAGTTATTCTCAGTGCATGTGACCAAGATACCTGAACAGATCTTCTTTCCAGTTGTCTTTATCATGAGCACATTCAAATAATATCAAGCATGACTGCTTCCAAAATCCATTCTACATGCATGGCAGTAACTGTGGGTGTGTTTTCATCATCATGTAAGTTCGGCGGCTTGGTACTGCCTTTTTTTTTAAGTTAACATTTTTATATGTTCTACTTTTTTGATTTTTTTTTTTTTTATTTTTTGGCTGTGCTGGGTCTTCATTGCTGCACAGGCTTTTCTCTGGTTGTGGTGAGCGGGGGCTACGCTCTGGTTGCAGTGAGCAGGCTTCTCATCGCGGTGGCCTCTCTCGTTGCAGAGCATGAGCTCGCGGGCACCTGGGCTTAAGTCCTTGCAGCACATGTGCTCGGTAGTTGCGGCTCCCAGGCGCAACAGTTGTGGTGCGTGGGCTCAACTGTTCCAAGTGTGGGGTCTTCCCGGATCAGGGACTGAAACCATGCCTCCTGCGTTGGCAGGCAGATTCTCTACTACTGAGCTGCCAGAGAAGCCCCTTGGGACCGCTTTGTATGGTTCTTGTCCACGGGACCAAAGCACGGTTTTTTTCCTGTGTCTTTGTGGTTTCACTGACTAACCGGGTCCCTCAGGCCTCACATACCCATGTTTGTCTCTCCAGATATTTGTACTTAATATTTTCTGATGACGATCTACTTCCTCTGGAACATTGGATATTCAACACCGAGGCACATCTTCTTCCTGTCCTCTCTAGGAATTTAAAGAAAGTTGAAGACGATGGGAAATAAAACGACATTTTATATTTTACTTTCCTCCACTCCTTTCACTGCATACCTTAATAATTCTTTTTCTGGTGATCAGGCACATGATGAATTTTTATTAATAGATCTGTGATTATTCTAAGTTTTAAAATTGTTTTGCAGTCTTATATGTTTATTATCATACATATAGATGGACCTAAATTACTTACTGTATCCTTTATTATTCAGCCAGTGAATCACAGGTTTTTTTCTGTTGTTGCTTTTAAGTCATCTGTTATCTCTAGAGTTTATGAAGATGTAGTATCATTTTTAGTAAACTGAATAGAGTGGTATACCTGTGATCTCTCAATTACAGTTTTCATTTGACTGCAAAACTTTTTCCTCCTCTATGAGGAGATGATGTCTGCTTTAAGCTGTAATGTTTTGCCATGTTGCAAAAAGCCATAATAATGAATTAAATAATAAAAAAGCTTTTTTCCTTTTCAATTTCATGTTAATCGGGTTTGTCTATCCACCAGAGACAGATCTTATAACTGTGACAGTGTCCTTATGCGGGTCTATCATTATTTGATAGAATGTCTTCTAGAATACTTTACTCACATTGTAATTCAAATTAGAATATCATCCCCAAAGGATCATCTCCTGTCGACCTCATTTCATCAGATCCACAGTATATTTTTGTCGGTTAATTATATTAGTGTTTCCTAATTTGGGAAATAGTTTTCAGATTTTATTTTAAATGCCCTGTGTCATCTCTGGATCATGTACTGGTTAATTTCTTCCATTCTCCACCACACGACAAAGTGAGCTTTTCAGTTTTGCAGAGCTCTACTATTACCGAATTATATTTTTTAAAGGGAAATTGTATAACTTTTAGTGTGTTAGCTTTTGCTTTTATCTGAATATGTAAAGAAACCGGGGCTCACTCTCTGGAGAGAGGGTATTTCTCTCTGGTTTTTTTGTTTGCATTTCATCTTTAATGTATTTTTCTTGAAAAAAAGAAACTGTTACATTTGCTTAGGTTTTTCAGGTTTGAAAAGGGTCTTTTCCCAAACTTAGTAAATTATTCATTTCAGTTTATGAAAGCAGGATTTAACTCAAAGAATCTCTAGCAATGTGTCTATTCATGGTCAATTGAGGAAAAACCTAATAAACTTTTAGACCAAATTAGGATATAGTATATTTTGTCTGGTTAAGTTCAACGTAGCAATCTCCGCTTAGAAGTAATGCATAGGAATGGACACTCCCAATCCTCTACAGTCCTGTAGCAGATCAAAATAATTATAATTAAATGATTTTTCAAAACATTTTTTGAGATATGAATCATTTTCCCAGAAATAGATTTGGTTATCATATTGGTTCATATTTTACGCATATTCCTATGAAAGGGCTAATATGATGATGCATGTACTGAGGTACAGAGATTTTGACCATCTACTTTTCAACTACAGCAGTCACATAGATCAGTGCAACCCCATGGATTAGGTTGAAACATATGAAATTAAGGCATTTGTAGTTTAAAAATTGCTCAATATCAGCGATTCCATATGCTTCAGCCTAATAATTTTTAAGACAGTTATTTTCTTAGATCTCAACAGACTTAGTTGTTTAGCTATTTCAGCTTTTGAAATCGTTTCAAAAGATTTCTATTGTCTGAAAGGCATATGACCTGCCCCTTTTTTCAATATTATTCATTGGTATATGACAAAAAATAAATCAGTAAAATTAGTAAGTGGAAAAGATCCTTTAGGACATCATGATTGCTATTTCCAAAACTTAAAGGCAAAGTATAGAAGATTCTCATCAAAATTGGGCCATATGTATTTAGATTATAACTTTCATATGAATGTCTTTGAACTAGCAATTTAAGATAATTTATTTTCTTTGCTTTTCAATGTGATTTGAAAGAGCACAAGCTGATAGGTATTTCTGCAGCAGATAGGATATTAAAATCAGGTTGTATGAACACATAGGACTGTACTATGATGTACCTTTTGCTTTCTGATATAAATAGGCAAGAAGATTGTACTACATTTTGCTCAGCCAATAGCGAGAACAAAGTTATTTCAATTCTAGAACTTGGATATTTTTAGCCTAGGACCCAAAATACCAATCATGTAAGCAAAATAAGAGATTACTATTATGGTGATGTAATTTAATTAAAGTTATATTTTGTGTTAATTATTTTAAACAACTGAAGTCCTTAGGTAGAGGCTGTCTTTCATTCATTTTCAGCAAAAACTGTGCAATTATGTTTACATATGTTTTCACATCCCAAAAGGTGAATAATTAAAATAGCACTTAATTTTGTTTCTGCACATGTTTTGGTATACATTGTATGATTAATATTACACATATAAGTTATATGGCAGTTTACAGAACTTCAGTGATGTTTGTCATGACACCTTCATATGTACTAGTAGTTATTCCCATTGTTTTTGATTTGTACTTAAATCCACTGTGTCATTTTCAACTTTATATAAATCTCTAATGTTATGGGAAACATAATAGATTGACACATAATTTTTAAAAACTATATTTGTAAAATTTCTCTATTGTAAATAAAGTCTTTTGATATATCTCCTCATTTGTTATGTTTTTCTCCATTTAAGGAAGTTTTTGGATGTTTTGGGATGAGAGTGTACCATGGCAAATGGACACATTAAATCCTAACAGTGATTCTGTACCGTACCCAGAGAATTGTGACAAGGACAGTTTTCCCATTAAAAACTTTAGATTGCAAATAATGTTGCATAACCACCTTTCGTTAATCAGATACTTTCGTTAAGAATCTAACACATGTTGAACACCAGAGCCCATGGAGTAGAGACAGGGAGTTGGCATCAGAAATAATATGAAGTGTGTTTCTTTTTTTTTTAATTATTATATATTTAATTTATTTTTGGCTGCATTAGGTGTTCGTTGCTCGCATGGGCTTTCTATAGCTGCAGCAAGCAAAAGCTGCTCTCTAGTTGCAGTGCTCTGGCTTCTCTTGTTGCGGAGCATGGACTCTAGGTGCACAGGTTTCAGTAATTGTGGCCCATGGGATCAGTAGTTGTTGCATGGGGACTCAGTCGCCCCGAGACATGTAGGATCCCAGTTCCCAGACTAGGGATCAAACCCATGTCCCTCACCTTAGCAGGCAGACTATCAACCACCGGACCACCAGGGACATCAGTGGTCCTTGTTCTTCAGTTGACAGTCCAATTGAGATCAAACCCCACCACCACCACCACCACCACCAGTGAAACAAAACATTTCATTGTGTTAAATGACAAGTTAAATTCTGCTATAGATGTTCAGAGGAGAAGGAGGTCACTAGGGTTTGAGTGGTCAAAGAGGCTTAATAGAAAAGAACAACTTAAGCTACGGGAGAACCTCCAATATTTTTTAAAAGGCTGGGTTTTTCAGATTCAGGTTGTACTTTTTAAAATGTTTCAAACATTTGGACTGCTGTTCTCTCTGCCCAGATCTCTCCTAGATGTCTGGCTCATGCTCACTTCATTCAGGCCTCTGCTCAATTAGCACCTTATCAGAGTGGATTCCTTGACAAATCAATATAAAATTACCAATCACCCTTTGTCCCTTACTCTGTTTTACTTTCTATTTAGATTTGTTATGTAACATATTGTTTTCCTTATGTGTCTGTTGTCTGCCTGACTTCTTAGAATTTAAGCTCCGTATGAACAGAAAGTTACTTTATTGGGTCTTTCTCCCCCTGCCGTTTTCACTGCCTGGAGTGGCATCTCATACCTGGTGTACACAGTGAATGTTTGGTTAACAGGTGAATGAATGAATGAAATTCTACCTTGTATTCACAGGCTTTGCTACAGCTATTTACAAATGTCTTAATAAGTAGTACATTTTAAAAAAAAATACTAAGTACCAGTATTATCTGCTATTGTTTTAAATAACTAATCGTGAGAATGGGCAGTTTTTAAAACTGCTACCTATAGTAGTTTTGGGGCATCCCAGGTGGTACTAGTGGTAATGAATCCGCCTGCCAGTGCAGGAGATGTAAGAGACGTGGGTTTGATCCATGGGTTGGGAAGATCCACTGGAAGAGGACATGGCAACTCACTCCAGTATTCTTGCCTGGAGAATCCCATAGACAGAGGAGCCTGGCAGGCTACAGTCCATAGGGTCACAAAGAGTTGGACAGAAGTGAAGCAACTTTGCACACATAGTAGTTTTAGGGAAATACAGAGTAAATTAGTATTTATGACTGGAATAACCTTCAACCAACAGGTGTTTTTTTACACCATTTATATCATTAAGGTACTGTATATATATATAGCCTTGTGTAAAACACATACCAAAAAAATTATAAGTCATGATTTCTCCAATGTTGAGTTTTTTTCAGTGTTTCTATTTGAATAGCCTACTATTGTTTTCTGTAACTTAATCTCCCAGTCACTATATCATAAAAAGAACCTATTTGAATAGCATCAAGCAAATAAATTGGTTTCTTTTACTTAACGTAGAGTTAATCAAAAGGGAACCTTCTGAATTCAATTATTTGTAACACAGATGATGTTGGTTTTGTTTTACTGTTAGTGACAGGATTACTTAAAAAGATTCTAAGCATGATTTTTTTTATACTAATATAAACCATCCATACAGAGATGACAACTTGGCAATCAGTACATCTAATTTCTGATAATTATGTGTAGGTGGTAGTGGTGGTTTAGTCAACTAAGTCCTGTCTGACTCTATGACCCTATGGACTGTAGCCCAACAGGTTCCTCTGCCCAAGGGATTTCCCAGGCAAGAATACTGGAGTGAGTTGCCATTTCCTTCTCCAGGGGATCTTCCTGACCCAGGAATCAAAACCAGGTCTCCTGCATTGCAGGCAGATTCTTAACCAACTAAGCTACCAGGGAAGCCCAATTATATGTAGACTGTTGCTTAAATTTTTAAGAAAACAATATAGATCTTTTTCTTTTAATTTATTTAAGCCTAGAGTTCATATATCTAATTGCCATTCCAGCTCCTTAGGTTGTGGCTCACATCTAGGGGGACTCAGA